CCTACAAGAGTGTCCCACAAGAGTTTCCTACAAGAGTGTCCTATAAGAGTGTCCCACAAGAGTGTCCTACAAGAGTGTCCTACAAGAGTGTCCCACAAGAGTGTCCCGCAAGAGTGTCCCACAAGAGTGTCCCGCAACAGTGTCCCGCAAGAGTGTCTCACAAGAGTGTCCCTTAAGAGTGTCCCAAAAGAGTGTCCCACAAGAGTGTCCCACAAGAGTGTCTCACAAGAGTGTCCCACAAGAGTGTCCTACAAGAGTGTCATTTGGACATATGTAGCTTATCGAACGTGTTTGCATTCGGGTTCGTGGGCTCCATCTTGTTTGATCTTTTAATGTTTGCTCCCGTCTTTGGAGATTGTCAAAGGACATCCACATGAGGCGGTTGCCACATTGCACATGAGTGTGGAACTTGCCCCCCCCTGGGCGAGTCATCACATTGGGCAGTGGCCAACCAGATGAAGTTCCAAAGGACCTAAGGTTGCGCCAGACGCTAAGCTAGAGGCTAGAAGAAGAATTCGCATGCTGCCAACTTGCCGAAGGGCAATGCACAATACATATTACATATCGTATACACATGTCACACATGTTACACATGTGCTTTCATGCAGATCGCATCGATCGTCTAGTTCGCAATGGTTTTTCACATCATGGCGAACGCGAACTCCGCGCTCAGGTATGGCTCCTCTGGACGTGGTCTGTTCACCACACCTCAAAAATTTCCAGGCCGCTGCAGAAGCGGAGCTTCCGAAGCTGCTGGAGGGCGCCCGAAGCTCAACGAGCGGTTTCGGGGTTTCACGGAAGTTGGCACGAGCGCGCCTGGCGCAAGCGTGTGCATTCGGTGTTCGGCTGTGGCGTACAGCGAGGGGTTCTTGTGATGTCTTATGTTTTTGGAGAGCCCCCCCAAAATTTGTCGTCCTGAAGATTTCACCTGGAGCTGGGGGGGTTGAAGGGGGCTGTGGCACAAGCATTCTTTTCCTTCACATGAACACCACGCTGTTGTTATGTCCAACACCTATGGCACGCAATTGAGAACAATCTCAGGCATTGAATTGGTGTGGCCCCATCAACCACTACAGACCCAAGTCCATGAGGCGCGCTTCAATGATTTCTACTTTACAAAAACTGCAAACAGTAAACCCCCCTGCGTTTCGATAGCGCTGGCAGTCCTCCACCCTGAAACACCCGACCGTCGTGTGTTCCTCGAGCTGTCTGACAGCAACACCCATGATTTGATAAGCCCTGCTGCACTTGACACTGGTCGTGCCTGACCAAATTTCTTCAACTCACCCAGAATCTTCCTAGCCAATACCATGGGACCACGGAAGAGGCTGGCCTTTCCAAATCTTGTGGATTACAGCTTGGTAGCTGAAGGCATGAAGTCGCCTCTTGAGGATGCTTAGTCCAAACCCCCGTGAACCTTTGGCATTTTGAGTCCCCAAGTGTAGTGTAGCTTCTTGTTACTAGAAGCTTCTGTAGTAACGCCAGGAGCTACAGTAGCTTCTTGCTCCTAGTAGCGATGCCAGGAGCCCGTAGCTTCCCAGTAACCGGGTGCCTGCCTTTCGGTGATGTGCCCAATCTTGGACTTGCACACCCCAAAAACATGGGCCGTTCGACTCCAAGGATCGCGGCTGAAAGCACCTCTCAAGGTGAGTATATACCTAGAGCCCGACACCTGGTTTTGATGGGAAAAGACTCAAAGACCAAACAGATGTCGTTTGGGTTGACTGGACCATCCGACTTAAGGAGAAGGTGCTGGATGGTACTGCTCCTTCCACAGCCGGGCCATGGGCACCATCAAGCGCGAGGACGCCATGCAGGTCTTAAAGCAGGTGGGTGCATGCGAAAGAACGGTTTCCAACCGGTGGTGGGACATCCGGATCACATTGAAGGTGACTTCTTTTTTTGTAATCATGTGGAAGAATGTGGAGCATGGGTCGAAAGATGCCAAACAGATACACTGATACACCACAACCAAGCGAGGCAGCCATGTTTTCATACATAAATGTTGCGTGATGAGGTTGGACAAATGGAGGGCCCTTCAAGCTTCTGAAGGTCTCCGACATCATTTTGATAAAACTGCGATCCACTGCCATGTGTATGATATCAATAGCAGCTAGATGCTGCTGGACCCTTCTTAGATGGGAACCTCAACCGGAGCTGGACGAATCTGCAGGGAAGGGGAATGCATCTGCAGAGCGCCCCATCTTGTGCAACCAGGGATCATGTGGATTCAGTGCCAATAGTGATATTTGATGGAAGGAAACACGTTTCCAATGGCCCCAAGATGTCTCTCTTACCAAAGGTCGTCCCTATAGCCGTGGTTTAGAGACGCAAGAACCGAGCTTTTCTGCGGTGTTTTCCCAACTGCGCTTGCGCCTTCTCTTTTTGGTGGAGAAGGCTGTCAGACAATGTCCAAATCATCTCTGGCGTGACTGGCAGACTCGCTGACCTGACGCTTCTTGGGGAGAGGCATCCAGAGGACGCAGCAGACTCCGGGCGGTTGAGACGCCGGCGCTTGAGGTGATGGCTCCCCTGAAGTTGGAGCTGTCGGTGTCCGAGGCGGAGTATATGATCCTCATAGAGGTGGGAAGCTGGGCTTCGTGAAGTCTTCAGAACTAACACATGGTCAGAAGCTGGTGTTGGGACGAAAGCGGAGCTGGAGAAAAGGGGATGTCCAAAGGCGGGTTTGAACGAAAAGGAACGGAGTCGGTTCCGCGAGTCGGTGAAACTCGTCGGTTCCGGAGGTGAATCCAATCCTTTGCGGCTTTGCGGTGCTGAAGGATTATGAAGGACAGCTTCATGAGTGTCACTTGCAGAAGCTTGGTCATGAGTGCACCAAGACTGGACACAGTCCAACTTCCGCTCACCTTCCTGCTTGTTTGGAGGAGTGGAGTATTTTTGGAGTATGAGAAAGCACCACAATTGTGCCATAGTTTTGGCTCAACGACTCACCGTGCTTGACGATCCAACCATCCAACGATCCACAATGTGCAGGCCAACAATTTTGAGGATCTTCTAGTATATACATCCAAATTGTGGTGTTCAGCAAAGAGTGTTGACACAAACTTTAGATTTTTCATGTTCCAAGTTTCTCAAAGCATTTGTCACATGACAGGGAATGGACATGCATATTTCCACGGCACATTTTGACCTCCCAAACCAATCGTCAGTAGTCAAACGGACCTCAAATCCATCCAACATTTTGGTGATCCAACGCCAAGCGAGGAACGCTTCGGAAGCCTTCGAACACGACGCCGCCAGCGAGCCCCTGTCGGACGACGAGGGCTCCGAGAGTGAAGCGCCCGACGAGCCCGACGAGCCTGCCCGGGCTGAGGAGACCCATGAGGCTGAGTAGCAAAAGAAGCGATTTTCCAGGGTGAGCACAGGAACTACTGGACTTTCTGAATCCCCAACGGAGTCAGGGGGCTGAGCTGGTTGGGAGATCCCTGAGAACATTTGGCCTTTGGTTCATGACTGGGATCCGAGGTACTGTTAGGATGGAACAAAGACCAAAGCCGCAGTCCTCTTGATGTTTTAGGATTCAGCTATGGGACGTTGCGGAACTCTCGAACACCCCAAGGCTGCCTTTCTCCCAAAGTTGCAGGGTTGAAGTGGCAGAAAGCCTAGCCAATACCCTGGTGAATCTCAACTCATAATAGGTTTGCCATCCATTTCTGCAAGCGTTTCCTTGTGATGAATGTGTGGATGGCAGATTCCATTCGCCGCCGACGTCTGGCTTAGCAGCCTTAGGAGCAAGCCTTGCCTGGCCCAATGCGGGAAAGAAAAAAGGATTGGAGCTGTCTAATACGAAGCCTGAGACACACATGGCTCTGCAATGGATCGCTTGAAGCAGAGAGCTACTCTGCTGTGGACACTCATTTGGTGGACTTTTCATCAACAGCTGCTGACTCTTGATGTTTTCCCCATAGACCGATCAATGGTATATTTGAAAGGACTGGACCCGACGTTGAGGAATTTGGGGTAACTTGATGCTTTGTTAATGTAGAAAGCACCATGGTCATTCGCCATGGCCACCCTCTACACATGTCCAGCCTGAACCTCAGTGTTTCGCTCCTTGTCGTTGGAACATGGTGTCTACGACTGTGTAAATGCTTCGAGCGACCAACGACCCGTCAAGGCTGTAGTCTCTGAAGGTCGTTGACCGTCTCGTTGACCGTCGAAAGGGCTATGACCTACTGTACCATCGAAAGAAACATAGTCTGGCACTCCTGAGCACAACGGCAGAAAGGGCAGAAAGGACCGGCAGCGGTCACAACTGGCCGTGGAAGTGTTCCTGTCTCCTGATAAACACAGCGGCTGAGTCAAAAATCCTATCTACTGTAAGCCCTCAGGATGTGCTAGTTGTGTTTCGGCCTGGCAGGCGCTGGGTGCACACTCCATCACTGAATCTCACGGGCATGCATATCCGCCCACTCAGGCTCCAATGTCAAATTTGCTCCTTCCGCGTAAACACCAACGCTGTAATTCCGCCATCTGGATCCTCGTGGTGATGGTGTCCAAAAAAAGTCTTGTCTGCTGCGTCCTCATGCTTAGCTTGCTCGTGTTTGATTACAGTGATGGCAAACACGTAACCATATTTTGACGTCCCTGTAATGGTACGCATTTGCTCACTTCCCTACCTGGGGTTGTTGGAAAGATACGTTTGTCTGATGAAGTTGTCTTATGAGGCTGCTTTCCTGGAAGGCTGCAGACTCACTCAACACAACAACATATTGGGCATTGAGAATGTTGTCCATTTCAGAGGCATGCATATGAGGGCTTTTAAGCATGTATACAAATACGAAGCACACGCTCCAAGTTGCTTCAGACGGCTGAAACGACGAAGTATAGGGGGCCAGATGAGACCAAGCCTGGCGGGGTTTGATGCCAAGCAGAGGCCATTGCTGGGTTTAGGGCCGCCCATGCCCAACAGACGGTTGGCCTGTGGTAACTGGAGGTATGGCCAACACTGCACATGAAAGGAACCACTGTTGGGGGCTTCACTCGATACGGCCAGAGATCTTGAGGCGGAGCCTTGGGCCGGTGTTGATGGTGCTGGCCTCAAGACGCGGTGTCCTACCAGCTGAGAAGATGTAGGAGTCCAGTTACGCCCCATGGTTTTCGGCTGGAGATCAAGTCTTTCCTTTGCAAACCCTATGCTGAGTCTTCTGGTTCGTCCATACAAAAGATGTTACTGTCTCCACTCAGACAACCACTGAGGTTTTGAGAAGTTTGTTCTCACTTGGCCAAAGCTTCTCAGTGATGAATGCACCTCAGGCACCTCAGGTGAATCCAGCTGTACAGCATCCCCCGGTGCGGTGGCCCATTGGCGCAACCGGTGCAACATGTGTTGGGCTCAATCTCCTGAGCACACATCCTATCCAGAATCCAGAGCCTTGTGAGGAATATATCGACCGAGCCTCGTCAGGTCAGAACATCTCAAGACGGCAAGGACCTACTGAGCTGTTCTCACACTTTGTAGGTAGATGTAGGTAGGTCCAGTAGATCATTTGGCCGCGATAGGAAGGGGTCCAGCTGGTTGGTGTTGTTTGAAGTGTTTGGGTTTCTTAGCCTGTAGCTGGGATCCGGGAGTTCCAAGCTTCTTGGATCGCCCCCCCCCCCGCACGGATGCGTTTGGGACTGACGCGAGGCCAGGTGAGCTCCCGCTCCGACCGCAGCTCTGACCACACTTCGGACCCAGGCACCGCGCCGGGCCGCGCGGCAGAGCGCGAGGAAAGCGGCTTCGGTGAATTGATGGTGTTCCAGTGTTCCAATGGGATGTTCTTGGTTTTTGTTACAGTATTTTCTTTTTCCATGCAACACTGCACTGGAGGATCGCAGACGAACGTCTGAATGTTCCGGGATGTTTCCATGCGTTTTCTACGGGAGGATCTTTTGAACATCCGAGTAAAAGATAGATTCTCGATGATTCTTGATGGAAAATACTCCAGGGCTCGATCTAGTGGCCCTCCTTTGAAGACATTTTGACCACAGATTTGACGATATATGTACTGTAATTATCATATAGCGAACAGATTCATTCTGGATGTGGCTCTTATCCTGGATATTTATGATATGTATATGTATGTGCCCAAGAAGACCGTCCAAACGGATGATCATCAACTTCTGATGGGCTACTCACGGTGTGATGGACCTGGGAGACCTGCGAGGCCGAAACGATGTAGACCTGCGAGGTGGGCTGTTTAGGGTGTGGGGATCGCCGTTGGCGGTGTTGTCTCACAACTTAGATTGGTGTCTCAACATGCTACAAGCAGTTCAGTTCAGTTTCGGAGATGATCCATAGTTGGAACAGGGAATGGCTGGAACCAGTGCCATGATGGAATTTTGGGGATGGAGGCAAGCGAGAACCCTGCGTACTTGGAGTGACACCCCAGTTCAACAAACCATGCTCAGCGGCCAAGTCTGTTGAGAGGCTCCGAATGGCTCCTAGCTGGCACAATGTGTGGGTCAAAATCCTAAAGCCCTACAGCATCGGAAGAACAGCGGAGCATTGGATTGTCTTGATTCATCTCCTTTATTAAGCGGAAATTGGTACTCAGAATCATGGCAAATTGGTCCATCTTCCACGGGTCACGGGGCCATCTGCTATATGGCAAACGGTGGTTCAAGAAGGACCCTCTTGATGAGGGTTGCTGAACGAAGGACTGGAAGGAGTTGTTCGGTGCTGCATACTAGTTTGAGCCACCGGAATCAAACGTCCTATAAGCGGGCGCAAGGGTTCTTAGGGGTTCTTAGGGGTTCTTAAGGGTTCCTAGGACCTAGCTATAACATGACCTTGCTTCACGAACTGTTTGGTCATTTTCCAGAGAAAGATCTTCCACTTTGCCCACCGGTCGGAGAATGTTTGGTCCTTTTCGGCTTGAACCATGTCCTTTTCGGTGACCGGGGGTTCCCTATAAGTTAGGTGACCAAGGTTGGTCCCAAGAGATGCCTCCCTCCTTGACTGCGACGAAGGTAGGGAATTCAGGGAATGAGCGAATGAAAACAAGCAGCCACCCTGGCCACCCTCATTCCGAGGTCGCACCTACGTCAGTCGTTTTGGCGTTTTCTTCGCGTGATTGCGAACCGCGTGTCGAGCCGATCGATTCCACCGGTGTCTAAGTCGCCTTGGAAGTCAGGTCTCAACTGCTGGCTTCCAAAGGTTCGCAGCTTAGCCCGTGAGTCAGTGGCATGACCTTGCGTGCTCAGCTGAGATTCTGCGTATTCCTTCGCCGAAGGGTCCTTCAGTTTCTGTGATTTCTGAAAGGCAGTGCCCTTCAGAAGGGCTTATAGAGATCCACTTGTGCGACTTGTTTTGAAGTCGCCTTCTCTTGATTTCTCTTGAACTTTTAAACGCATCGGTTTCCTCTGAATCTTGCGACCAAGACCATGGCCTCCGGACCCTCTCGGACCCTCTATGCTGAGCTTCATGTTTCCAGACAGAAAGGGTGAGCCGGTGTTCCTTCCCGCCAAGCACCTGGTTGGTCTATAGCCTCGGGGGGACATGTCACGAGCAAGAGGACCAGCTTCTCAGATCATTTAAAACAATTTTATATCCTATTCCTATTGGTCTTCAAAGGCCAAGCAGCAACAACAGGTGAGAATGAATTGGTATCCGGTCTTCAAGCATTTTCACCAGCTTCATTGTTGCTACAAGACTAATGACACGCAAACCTTCGCTCTCTGTGGATCACCAGTCACTTCGCCCAGCTCGCCCAGCTCGCCCAGCTGCCAAAGAAGCAGCACTCCTGGCGAGACAGGGAATTCAAGAGTGGATCCCTTTCCTGGAACAAAGAACGAAGACATTGTTGATAGCGCCATCAGTGGAGTGAAGAAAATGAATGTATATTCTTAGCCTCTTTCTCTGAGTCTTTTCGTTTGAGACAGTGAAAGGGTGATTGAGCAACAATGCAGACGAGCTCGACAGCATGGACCAATCAGATCGGTCTTTCAATCTTTCTGAAGAGAACCCTTCATTCATGACAGATGGCGAGACCACAGGCGGGGCCAGAATGGTGAGGAGTTGTTGAAGCCAGTGTCTTTGCCAGGAACATGGTTTTGCGTTGGGAAGACCTTCTTGTGTAACTCAACACATCCAAGGAGTTCTTGGTTCCGCAAGAACAGGGCTAGGCCTGTGGATGGCTGTGGCTCATTTCAACACCACAGTACTATGTCCCCAAGCAGATGACCCAATTCAGTTGCCTGTTCGGATCCTCTTCGGATTGGTCACCGAGAACCGCCTTCCGAGTGTCAACCTCCGCAGGGCAGCCACGACCAGGAAAGTCTTCCAGCATCCAGCTGAAAGACTTTCCCAATCCGATGATTGACATGAGACCAATGTGGGTTAGATAGTTCT